AAAAAAAAACACGCTTAATTACAGAGCTCATACAGTGTACTATTCTAAGACATGCCTCAACGATCATTTGTCGAGATCGGCAGAGGAATGACAACACTGGATGGAATCGTAATATCATTTGAACTTTATATCATCCATATAATAATAATCTATATAGAACACTGTTCGACAGGCATTCTCATGAATTGACTGATACGATAATCTCGGGTCTCTTTGCTCCATACTGGCGAGACGATGCTCGGGATACATTGCAGGCTTCACACAATATCCACGTTGCGCGTGCAACTTTGGACAGTTTTATAAGAGGTTTGGCAAACGACATGTCTATCGTTATTTTAAAAGTAAAAGAAATCGATATGGTGATTATACTTAATTGACAAATTAAAATGGAAAGTCACTCTTCCCTTTTCGTACTAAGAATGATTGAAATAGTTATCATTTCCACTTGGCGTATCTCTCTTATCGACTAGACGGTTACCGGTCCGAATACTTGAAAACAGTTATCCCTTAACATGACATGGAATTACTATCCGACGGGATCGTTATCACGATTTAAACTCGTACCATCCCTTTTTCGTTATTCCTGTACAACCCAATCTCGGGAAAAAATATTGTTTTATTCGCATTTCTATTACTATTAGAATGTTTGCCGTATAGCGATGTTTGTTATAGCACACAGGATGAGTTATTAAAAAACACGCGCTCATGCGATTTTTTTTTAATCTATTTTCAAATCAACATTTTACACCAACACGCTATGAATATGAATAGAAACCTTTTCCAGTCTTTCTGCCAAGATGGTTACGGGCAACCAAATCGTCGAGTGTCTTGATTGGTGCAACGAGATGTGCGTCGATCTTACCACCTTGACGCCATCCGTCGGCAATGAATTTAAGCGTGTATAAACCGACAAACTGGAAAATTAAAATTACGATTAGCGTCAGCCTTGTAAATAAAATTGTGATTATTAAATTTGCTCATCTGTAATCCAATTTACTCACGTCAGCTAATTCGAACGGTCCCATCGGCATCCCAGCACCAAGCTTCATAGCCGTGTCGACATCTTCATGTGTTGCTTCCCCGCGCTCGACGAGACGAATTGATTCCAGTATATAAGGAACCAGCAAACGATTAACGATGAATCTTTTTTGATGGCATTGAGTGAAATAGGTTGCGCGTTGTTAACAGAAAATATTAAGCAACTAGTATGCATCAGTCAGAGTCCAAGTAACACGAACAATTTACCCTGGAGTATCTTTACAGGTAACAGGAGTCTTTTGCATTTTCTTTGTAACATCCATTAGCTTTTCGTATGTGTCGTTACTGGTCTTGTCAGTCCTGATAACCTCAACTAATTTCATTTGCGGCACGGGATTAAAGAAATGCAATCCGGCAAAATTCTCTTCTCTGCTAGTCGCCTTGGCAATTTCGCTAATGGTCAAACTAGAAGTATTGCTCGCAAATATAGCACTTTTTTTGGCAATCTTATCCAATTGCGAAAACAACTTTTGTTTGACATCCATCTTCTCCACAATGGCTTCGACAAGTAAATCTGCATCCACAGCCGCAGCGGAAGAATCGGTAGACGTTGAGATGTTCTTCCATGCATTTTCGACAAATTCGGTGCGTTTTTTCTCATCGTCTTTGTGAATGCGCTTGGCCACGCGAGTTAGTGAAGCGTCTATAATCTTTTTACCCTTTTGTACTGCTTCATCGGATACGTCGACCATGGTCACATTGAGGCCATTCTGAGCCGCCACTTGAGTTATACCCGCACCCATAAGTCCCGCGCCATAAATGGTGATTTTCTGAATGGAGAATGAGGGAGATGTGGAAAAACTGCGAATAGAGCGAGAAAGAGAACGCAGAGGTAAGACTGATGAGCGACCAAGCGAATTCATTGTTTTGTCAAAAGATTTCTGTCGACTTGGTCGATGAGAATTTTTAGGTCAAACGGGAATAAAAAACATCTGTGAAACCATGGTAGCGATTATCAAAGCACCGCCACACAGGCATTCAAAATATGGGGAAAGGCTAAAGCGGAGCAGAACGTGATCCTGTATTTGCAGTTTTATTGGCTGCCATACAAATTTGAC